CCCAAACGGACCTGCAACCGGCTCCTAGCCCTCGACTTTTTCCCTCTCCGACTTGAGCCTCCCGTGCGCAGCCCTTAGCTTCTGCTCGATTCCAGTTTCAGCGATCCACCCCTCTGGGTGAAACACACATAAAATCCACTTGTGCCCTGGAAGCCCGACCCGCGATTTGAGACGCACAAACTCGGTGCAAGGGAGACGGCAATCGAGAGGTCTGGGCGCGGTCGCAGGTGATGCGAAGGCACCAGACCCGCGGCCCCTCCACAGATGCACCCTGGCCTCCAACCCCGCAAAGTCGTTACAGGGGTAGGGGTGCCAGAGGAACTAAAGAGGCAGCGGGACAGGAAGAGAAGACGCCAGAAGCACGCTGTTGCCAAGGCTGGACCTCCCGTCGAGGTCAGTCCTCCAGCCTCTCTCGGGGCTCCAGCTCTGCTGTCGGGACCCACATTTCAGCTCCAAAGGGGACATCTCTCCCTCCGTGATTAGTTTCTGGCTGCCGAGGGGGACGCCAGGGGCTCCTGGAATGATTCCCAGAAGTGCCCCCCGACTCTCAGCATCGGGGGCCCTGACTCCGGGCGGGCAGTCTGGGTGTCTTGACTGCGCCCGCTCAGCCGCGCAGGAGGCGCCCCGGGCGACCGCCGAGAACGCCACGCCCTCGGCACGGCCCTCGCCCCGCCCCCCGCCGGCGCGCGTTCTCGGCCCGGGGAGGCGTGTGCTGCTTCTGCAGCCAGCGCGAGAGGGAGAGGGATGGATGTTGGAAGAATTCAGGCTTAACAAGTGATCGCTGCTATCTAGGATTTTGTTCTTTTTCTGGGGAACCTTGACTTCCTTTCTCAGTCGAGCCCTCCTGTGCTGAACTCCAGAGGAACCAGGAGTCTTGGGGGTCTTTCCTGGGGCAGCCCAGATCCCCACACCTGGGCTCCAGCAGCGAGGACTCTGTGCCCCCCTGGCCAGGCAGCAGAACTTCTTCCGTGGATATTTTGGAGCCTCCACCTGCCACACAGGCGTGATTCCTTCCACCCCCAAGATCATTCTTCCCCTCCTCCAGCTGTTGCAGCTTGAGGGGGGAAAATCAAAACCAACCGGGGGATTGTCCTTATTTTTATTTTGCACCCCTCCTGAGAACGGTAAGTATGATGCCTCTCTTATCTTCCCCTCTCTTCCTTTGGCTGTTAAGAAACAGTGGACATTTGAGAGACAAATAATATCGGGAATGTGACAGAAGGGCATGAATGGAAGGCGGTTAAAAATAAACCAGGAGGTGGGAGAAGGGAGGTGCAGATGATGCGTGGCGCTCCGGGGGGCCAACAGTTGTTATTTTCTCAACCCCAGGGATGGGTGCACGCGCCCTGCTTAATGTGCCCGAGCGGGAACCTAGGTCTGAGGCGAGGGTGTGATTAAAGATGTCGTTTCCCAACGAGGTGGAGTTTAGATTTAGCATCGTTTTGCCTCATCCCAGACTAACTGGTTCTGTTCCTTGGGGAACAGCTGATGAACGGGTTTGAATTGCTGCCTCTCCCAACATTTGGATTTGCGTGCATTTTCTGAGCATTTGAGCAACACATAGAGATTGTATAAATGGCGTGCGTTGAAGTGCATATATCTCACGGGTGTTAGCCTTTCTGATTCTCCCTCAATCTTTTGCTTCTCTCTCTCTCTCTCTCCCCCCCCTTCCCTCCCTCCTCTCTTTCCTTCCCTCCCTCTTGTAAGGTTCATGTACCACCCTAACACAGTTGTGGAAATTAGCCTTGAGAAATGAAAACAGCTTGTTGTTGGAGGGTGGGAGGAGGAGAGGCGGGATGTATAGCTGTTGTTTGGGGGAACAGGGACTCAGGAATTGGCAGTCTGCAAAATCCTATTAGTTTAATGGTGTTAAAGAGGAAGGGAAATATTTCCCTGCGAAGGTCTCCCCTATGAAGGCTCCTGGGAGTTGGCTTGAATAGATTCTCCTAACATGAATACCTTGAGGAGGAAGAGAGATTTTTACACCAGCCTGATTTGTTGGGTGGAAAGATTTTTTTCCTTTCTTTTTTTTCTTTTTCTTTTTCTCTCCTCCTTCTCCTCCTCTGCCCCCTCCTCCTCCTGTGGTTCCTTTCTTTCTTTCTTTCTTTCTTTCTTTCTTTCTTTCTTTCTTTCTTTCTTTCTTTCTTTCTTTCTTTCTTTCTTTCTTCTTTCAAGATTAGAGATAGTGAGGTAGCTGGTAGCCAATTATAAGGAAGGTAATTTGCTTTTTGTAAGCTGGGGGAGTTGGATAAACCAAAACTAGCAAACCTAAATAAATAAGAAATTATTTGGTGTGGAGCAAAAACAGGGCAGGTCTAGCTCTCCTGCGGATTGATGGGGAATTAGAAGACCCTTTAATTCATGACCTTCTGGGAGTCAGTTGGGCAGGAGAATGGTGTACGCAATATAGAAATTTACAGATACTTTGGTTACACTGGGGCTTTATTTAAATGGTGTATTTTAACTGCTTTGAGGGAGTTTGGGAAGTAACTGAGCAAACTCTCAAGATATTTGGCCTGTGAAAGAATTCAAAGGATGTCAGCCTGACCCTCCACAGTGAAAATAGAGATGTAGAGACCTCCTGCGGGTAAACATTTCAGAGTATGAGTTAATGTTAGGAGTCAGGCAAAGGGAGAGGGATGTCAATTGAGAGACCTTCACAGGTGTATTTCCTGAATTTTGTGTCCAAATCAAGCTCACCTCTTACCTTTGGAGAATGTGTACGATTGGGAAAGGATCTATTTTTGCCACTTTCCTGCTTGTCACTTCATAAAACTCGGTGTGTTTAAGCTTCTCGGCTGACACGATTCAGCAAGGAGCAAGCAGCAGGTGGTCAAGAGCTGAATCCCGTTAATGGCTCCAGAAAACCATTTTTCTTATGCTGCTCAAGTGCTTCCAGTAATAGAAGCTAGTGGATGCCCCGGGTTCTGTCATTACCCTCCCCAGTTCTCTGGGCTACTCTTCTGCATGCTTGGAGGTCCTGTTGGACAGAGTGAATGGAAGAAGCAGGAGTAGACAGAAGATTGGGGCAGGAGCTTTTACAGGTCCTGGTGGAGGAGATGAGTTAGCTGGACCTAGGGAGAGCTCAGCTAAGGAAGAAGAAAGGCCAGGAATACCAAGTGACTGTGTGGACAGAGCAGGCTGCAAGGAAGATGTGCTTGGGAGGCGGGAGACTGAACACAGATGTGGGCAGAGAGCGAGAAGAGCGGGGAAGGTAGGGGATGGGAGCTACAGATTAAATGAAAGTGGGGGTACAAAAGGCTGAAAACAAAGTCCTCACAAACTGGAATATTAAAAAAAAAAAGCCATAAGGAGATAGTCCCTTGAGAAGAGTGTAGGAGGGAGAATTGAGATGAACATGGAGGAACTGCAAGGAGAGAAAATAGTTATTAGAAAAGTGGAAACTGGGATAAGCTCCTCGGCTGTGGGTGGTAGGGAGTGTTCTCCAGTCTGAGAAACAGAAAACAATAACAGGGACATGCTTCAGGGAGTCGGGAAGTGCCAACTTAGTACAGGCCATTGGTGAGTCTCAAAATGTCCTAGATGCCTCCCATTCTCTCCTTCCCCTACTCCAGACAGTGGTATAAGGACATACAGATTTGGGGGTGGGTAGATAGCTGATAAAAGGTTAGATTACTGTCATGTTCTTAATAACTACCAGCATTTATTGATACTCATTGTGTACAAGTCAGTGTGTTATTCTATCAACATCCACTATCTCATTTAATCCTTACAAAGGTGGGATGGGGAGGGTGCACCATCTATAGTTTGTAGATGAGGTGATTGAAGCTTCAAGTGCTGGAGCATGGATTAAAGAAAACTGTATTTTCCTGATTTGTTAAATCCTGAATCAAGATAGAGAGGGATGGAAGGACACGGAATTCAGAAATATTTTATGAGTGGAAAATTTTTAAAAATGCATTAAGATCAACGCATGGTGGAAGGAGCTATAAAGTGACAGCATTGTTATTGTGGAATGATGAGAGTGGCATGAAAATAGACTGCGCTGAAATGATATTCAAAGAAGAAGGAAAGAAGGATGTTTCGGGGAAAGGTGATTTAACAACCTGCCCCTTACTCCTTGGAAGTTTAGTGTTGCTTCGTGCTTTGTATGGTTTGCTCGAGGACAACAGAAAGAAGTGTATGTGAAGGAAATGCTCAGTTTGCTTTTTATGATTTGATTCTTCTTTTTATTTTTCTTCTATGCTTGTTTTCCTTCCTTTTTCAGGTGAAGTGCTTCTTCTGCATGATTTTAGCTGAAGGATGCTCTGCATTTCCTTGATTTCTATGGAGACCTCAGAGCTGGGTTTGCCCCTGCTGACACCTCATCTTGCACCTTTTCTACCTCCCAAGGTCTTTGCCTCTATCTATAGCCTGGCATTGCCCCTGGGTCCAGGAAGCCTGTGATGATCTTAAGGGGGGAGCCTGGAGAAGCATCCTGATAGGTCTGAGCAGCAATGGCTGGCCATACTTCAAGTCTCATGTTAACATGGGTCAAGCAGTCACTGGAAGGCAAGTGCTAAGACTAAAGGCTTATTTGCATTTTATTTAAATTTGATGGACTGAACTTTGGACAGTTTCCATGGCAGAAAAATATATCCCATTTTCTAGGCACAACTGCTAGCTGTCAGAGAAGTGCTGCCTTTGAATCTAGCTGCGTCATCACCGACCACATCCTAGATGTATTTCCAAATTTGAACATCTACCCCAAAACAGGTGTTTGGGAGGCCCCAACGTTAACTGACTTAGGCTGGAGAGTGCTAGACTCTTTATCTAGACCGGCCAAGCTCTGGAGAGCAATGCTGAATCCCTGGGAAGACAGAGCATGGGGCGTGCTGATTTAAAAACAGAAAATGCAAAGTTGGACTGAAAATATCCTTAGTCTTCCAAGCAATCTGCTTAAGCGTTCCAAACTTACCTTACTTTGGTGAGAAAAAAAGCTGCCCTATTTTTCTTTCTTCTTCCACAACTGGAACCAGCCATTTCCAAAAACCACCACCATGGAGGTTGCAATGGTGAGTGCGGAAAGCTCAGGGTGCAACAGTCACATGCCTTATGGTTATGCGGCCCAGGCCCGGGCCAGGGAGCGGGAGAGGCTCGCTCACTCAAGGGCAGCAGCGGCAGCAGCTGTTGCAGCCGCCACAGCCGCCGTGGAAGGCAGCGGGGGGTCTGGAGGGGGCTCCCACCACCACCACCAGTCTCGTGGAGCCTGCACCTCCCACGATCCTCAGAGCAGCCGACGGAGTCGGAAGAGGAGGCGACAGCAGCCTGAGAAGAAGAAAGCCCACCACCGCCAGAGCAGCTTTCCTCATTGCACCGACCTGATGCCCAGTGGCTCTGAGGAGAAGATCCTGAGGGAGCTGAGTGAGGAAGAGGAGGAGGAGGAGGAGGTGGAGGAAGAGGAGGAAGAGGAGGGAAGGTTTTACTATAGTGAAGATGACCGTGGCGATGAGTGTTCCTACACGGACCTGCTGCCTCAGGATGAGGGGGGCGGTGGTGGCTATAGTTCAGTTCGCTACAGTGACTGCTGTGAACGTGTCGTGATAAATGTGTCAGGCCTACGCTTTGAGACCCAGATGAAAACCTTGGCCCAGTTTCCAGAGACCTTGTTGGGGGACCCTGAGAAGAGGACTCAGTACTTTGACCCTTTGCGTAATGAGTACTTTTTTGACAGGAACAGGCCTAGCTTTGATGCCATCTTGTATTATTATCAGTCAGGAGGCCGCCTGAAGAGGCCAGTCAATGTCCCCTGTGATATCTTCACTGAAGAGGTGAAGTTCTATCAGCTGGGAGAGGAGGCCCTGCTCAAGTTTCGGGAGGACGAGGGCTTTGTGAGAGAGGAGGAAGACAGGGCCTTGCCAGAGAATGAGTTTAAAAAGCAGATTTGGCTTCTCTTTGAGTACCCAGAGAGCTCCAGTCCGGCAAGGGGCATAGCCATCGTCTCCGTCCTGGTCATCTTGATCTCCATTGTTATTTTCTGCCTGGAAACCTTGCCTGAGTTTCGGGATGACAGGGATCTCATCATGGCTCTGAGTGCGGGCGGGCACAGTGGGTTGTTGAATGACACCTCGGCCCCCCACCTGGAGAACTCAGGGCACACGATATTCAACGACCCCTTCTTCATCGTGGAGACGGTCTGCATTGTTTGGTTTTCCTTTGAGTTTGTGGTTCGCTGCTTTGCTTGTCCCAGCCAAGCCCTCTTCTTCAAAAACATCATGAACATCATTGACATTGTCTCCATTCTGCCTTACTTCATCACACTGGGCACAGACCTGGCCCAGCAGCAGGGGAGTGGCAGCGGTCAGCAGCAGCAGGCCATGTCCTTTGCCATCCTCAGGATCATTCGTTTGGTCCGAGTGTTCCGGATCTTCAAGCTCTCCAGGCACTCCAAAGGCCTGCAGATCCTGGGCCACACCCTCAGAGCCAGCATGCGTGAACTCGGCCTTCTCATCTTCTTCCTCTTTATCGGCGTCATCCTGTTCTCCAGCGCTGTGTATTTTGCGGAAGCGGATGAGCCTACTACCCATTTCCAAAGCATCCCAGATGCATTTTGGTGGGCTGTGGTGACCATGACGACTGTGGGCTATGGGGACATGAAGCCCATCACTGTGGGGGGCAAGATCGTGGGGTCCCTGTGTGCCATAGCGGGTGTCTTAACCATTGCTTTGCCAGTGCCAGTGATTGTCTCTAACTTTAACTATTTCTACCACAGAGAGACCGAAAACGAGGAACAGTCACAGCTGACACAAAATGCGGTCAGTTGCCCGTACCTCCCTTCTAATTTGCTGAAGAAATTTCGGAGCTCTACTTCTTCCTCCCTGGGAGACAAGTCAGAGTATCTAGAGATGGAAGAAGGAGTTAAGGAATCTCTCTGTGCAAAGGAGAAGTGTCAGGGAAAGGGGGATGACAGTGAGACAGAGAAAAACAACTGTTCCAACGCGAAGGCTGTGGAGACCGATGTGTGAATCTAGCTCTCCGTCTGCCACTGCCCCCTCGCCCCAACCCCAGCATCTCCAAATATATTTATGCATAAAGAGTCCAGTTACGAAAATGAAATATGCAAATGAATCCAATGCATACAGTAGTACACCATTTAATGGGTATATGTGGCATAATTGTTACTAAACTTGTATTACATATTGAATAAATGATATATCTTGGAGAAGAGGGAGGCTTAAATAGGAGCAAACCGATCTTTATATTTTTTATTAGAATGCAAGAATTTTGCACATTAACTGGAAAAGACGTTAAAAGTAAAGATGGTCCCATGGAGAGAATGTGTGTGTTTGTGTGTGTGCTGCGTGCGCGTGTGTATGTGTAAGTAAATTGTCAACATTGTTAGTGATCGTGCAGTGATGGGAAAAGTTGGCATTTGAAGTATTTACTATGTAAGAACTAATGAATTGGAACAGTCATTTATCAGTGCTTTAATAGCATCTCATGTCTTTGGATTCCAGAGTTGTTTTTTAAAAATTGTAAGAATTACTGTGTAGAAAAAAAAGAAAGTGAGTTATTTAATAGAATATAGGTCGCAATTTTATCTTGGATTTAATTAAAGTTTATTTTTAACTGGAAATTAACTTTTAAAAAGGCTGCAGGGGCCTTTAGAAATTGATTATATTTTGTTATTAATTTTAGGAGGTTGTGAGAGCAAATGCCTAACAATATGCAAGAAATGACATCGGAGAAAAATGTAACAAGTTTTGTTCACAGATACTGGGACTGGAATCTTTTGGTTTTTTTTTTTTTTTTGCACTACTTTATATGCTGGAGATTGAGACAGACTTCATACTGTGAATGTTTACTAATGTAACAGTTCAATGACAATCATTGGAACAATGATTTCTTAGTCTTATTTTATTGTTCTCTTCTTTTCTTTGTGTGAGACTAAATGCCACGCAGATAACAGCACAAGATAACAGCACCCTTCTTTTTTAAAATCTAAATAACTGATCTGCAAAGGGGCTATGATGTCAAGTTTAGCAACTGAGTCTTTTGAAATCAGTCTGTTACAATGATGCTTCTGAAACCATCCTATTTTAAATATTCTGCCTTTAAATCCAGAATAATTTAACCAAAGCTAATGCATGCACTGAAAGAATTCTTGAAGAAGTAAGATGCTTGGCAGCTAGAATGATTATGGTTTAAGAGCTTTCCATTAAATGTGCAACATAAGTGCTAGATTTACTAAGTTTATTTCTTTGTGCAGAGTTTGGGGATTCACATCAGAATCTGGCATTCAATTTGCTAACATTGGTATAAGAAAGAATTGTGTCAAAACATTTGGTTTCAACATCATTATTATATTTGTTAAAGGAATTTATGACACATAAGCATTTAACTCAAGACAAGGTGTTCTAGAATGTGAGGTAACAGCTAGTGATTGGATTTGCACTATGAAATTATAATGGGATATAGGTTAGCAAAGTCAGAATACATAATAGGCCTTATTCTCTCTAATATTTCTTCAACTTCTGTTCTTTATGAAGTTGGTGTCCTGGTGTTTGGGGAAAAGATATTATGCAGGGTATCTCAGTACAGAACAAATTCTGACAAATGTGAACTTGGGGGGGAAAAAGACCTAGAAATAGCTTTTCTCAAGCTTTTTAATCCTAGGTCTTCATTTGATAAAAATCTCTTTTAATGGTATTTGAAATTCAAAGTTAATCCACTGTTAGGTTTAAAGGCAAAGCTCCTTCCTTCTCCCCATCCCTTCCCTACCACTTACAGGGAAACACCTCTTGAGAACGCCTTTGGAGAATGAAAGGCAACAAGCAGAAGAATTGATTGGATGTGCCAGGGCTGTCCAACCTTTTGGTGTCTCTGATCCGCACTGGAAGGAGAAGAGTTATCTTGGGCCACATATTAAATACATCGTGACATGTAATCACATACACACAAAAATCTCATAATGTTTTAAGTAAATTTACACTTTTGTGCTGGGCCACATTTATAGCCATCCTGAGCTGCATGTAGCCCCTGGGCCAGGGGTTGGACACCCTCAAAGATCTCTAGTGGACAATAGAGAGTGACAAAACAAGGAAATGGCATCTTGTAACAAGACTTCAAAATGGCATTATAATATATTTTGGATTAGGAGCAAAAATATAACAAGCATTAGACTAGCCATAAGGCTGTTTAGGTTGGTCATCACTCATTTGTAAAATTCACCCTGTTAATCTCTGCACCCAGTTTTCTCAATAGTAAAAAAGGGCACATAAAGCATGTGTTAACATCAGTTGTTTGGGAAAAGCAAATGAGGACATGTGAAAACTCTGAAATAAGTTCCATATAAATGTCTGATCTTATGTCTAAATTGCTTAATCTTTCTCTAGGAGAAAGGGGATATAGAACCCATGAGTTACATCTGCTTTGTTAGGATGTCGTGAAAATCATGGCTAATTTCTTTAATTTTGGGCTCCTTACAAGAAGTTCATTTGCAGACACACAAGGTAGTCTATCATTAAATAACTGCTGAAGTTTCTTCTTTTGGGGGATGATTCTAGGCATCTAATGGTATGAAAGTTGACCCTGTGGGGAAGGTACCACCTCTCATTTGCTGTACCCAACGAGGTCAGATTATATGTTAAAATAGTTTAAATACATGCTTTCCAGCATTGGATGTTTATTGAACATTCTGTAATAACAATAGCAATGGCTCGGCTATGTTTGGAGGGGAAAATGTATTTCATTGTTTCTACAATGTATTTTTAAATCTGAAAAGTTATGTTACCTTTAATTGACATGTTTTAGAATTAATAATTCTGAGAATCCAGGAAAACATAGTCATTTGGGGATCCTGGAGTTATTCTTTATCTTATATAGTTTTCTTAAGGGTAGAAGAATCAAGAAGTCATGGGTTTTCAAACCAAATATTAGGGTATCACTAAGTGTATATTTGTTTTTGTTTTTGTTTTTTTGCAAGATGCATTAATTTTAGAATGTCTGGATCTTGATTCCACCCAGAGAAGGAAGCGTTTAAGCTCTCAAGACTTATATAGGAACACTTCTGTAGAGAACACTTCTCTTACAGAGAATGTGTGAAGGTAGAGTCCTCAGTGCAGTTACGGATTGATAGCATTTTTTTCCAAGTGAGAGTGAGGCCAAATGCATTAGCACCATTTGTGATTATTTTATATTGAGATATATGCTTCCAGGGCCAATTTGTAACTAATTGAGGCAACTTCATCTCCTTAGAGACCACCATGCACGTTTGGTTGTAAGATCAAAGAGAAGTGACCCATTTAAAGATGAATTTTTGGGATCTGGGATCCTTTAGTTGCCTTCCAGACGATAAGACATGTTACCAAAAGTACCATATTTGAGAGTTGTTTTAACCAAAAAGTTTTCAGGGGTGGATGCATTTTTCTCTCTTGAAACTGCTTGAAAAGGAAAGAGTTATGCATAACGGTTATAGAGAAGAGAGGAGGACTGAATATTCCTATAATCTCTGAGAGAAGGGTGCTCTTCCATGCTGGAAGAATAAGAGCTGGTCTAGGAGACAAGCGCTGGCTTGTTGACCACAGGCACATCTTTCATCTTTCTCAGTTTTTGTTTGTTTAATATAAAATCAGGCTATTGGGCTATATTATCACTTGCTTCCTACTATTTTCTAAGTGCTCCTCAAGTCATGCAGCCTTGGTTTTATAGTTAGGCAGCAAGGACAAAACAGTTTTAAAGCTCTACTGTTAAGTTAAATGCAGTACCAGGAGTTTAAGATTGAGTTTTTAGCATGCAAACTAAACTGAATGAACAAGTGGACTTTGAAGCTCTTTATTCTGACAACTTCTAAAGGGAAGGGATTCACTTAAAAAAGAAAACAAAACAACAACAACAACAACAACAACAAAACTCAGCAGTCCTCATTTGAATACAAATGCTAAAATTTGGTAAGTAAACATTTTGATTTCTGGCTTTGGTATAGTGCAGGCTTGTCAGCAAACAGAATGTTCCAGCTTGTGCTGGAAATCTCATCTGATGCTTAGACACATGTAGTAGTTCACAAGTGCTACTACTTTCCCTGTCAAATTTGTTTTAAACAGGATCGCTGAAGTTTTGTGAAAAGTCTTTTCATTAAGCAGGTGTTGAAATAGAGTCCAAAGATGAATAAGAAACATCTAAGTTAAGATATATATGTATTTTTTTTTATTTTGTAGAAAATCAACAATTAGCTAGCAGAAAATTATTTTTATTTGTACTGGAGTCCTAAACAGTAGTGCCCCACATGCCAAGAGAATCAGAAATGGTGTTCCCCATTGTTGGCTTTCAGGACTGTGATGCATCTTCAGCTACTAACATTGCAGCTATTTGTAGGTAAAGTGGGAAACGACACCTGGGTTTGGTTTACATGCTTTTAAGTGAACATATGATATGCTCATGTACAAGGAACAAAGTATAACACCTGTCTTTATATATTTTTTTTCATTGATACAGTTTAGAATGATTACGGGTTGTCATTCAGTGACAAAGGGGCCTGTTCCAGGAAATCTTCCTGACCCAAAAGTCATTCTGAATTCTACAAGGGACATTTGCAAAGGGACATTTGTGGACAAAAGGTACCTCTTGGTTTTCCTGCCTGCAAAGAAACTTGACTCAAAGCACAGGGTCTTCCAGATCAATGTAACCAGTACAGGTTAGAAGATAATCTTACTTTCTAGTAGGGAGATTAGCATTCCTATTTGAAAGAAGGTTGATGGAGTGATTTGTGTTCAAGATTGGAGGAAGCAGAGCTGTTTTTGCATTGAATGGGAATATGTACTTCTGAAATGTAAATTAAGATTAGGACTGTTATAAAAGTTTTATTTCTTACTCGGTTTTCTATTTCCATAGCTGTCCCAATTTCTTATAGTATCTTCTTCACAAAAAGTATGCTAATATATATTAGACCATGTGGCATAATTTGAGGTCTGGAAAATATGGTTGCTTTATTTATGGGTAAATAAACTAATCCTAAAACATGAATTGG